CCCCAAAACCCCAAAACCCCAAAACCCCAAAACCCCGAGTCTATCAGTCATTATAGAATTATTGGCAATGGAGCTAATATACAGGTAAGATTGCTTCAAATTCTCTCAATGTGTATCTCTTAGCAAGTACATGACTACCGCTGAGTAAACTCATGCATTGCTAAGTCCTAACATTAATCTATTTTGCTACAGAGTTGCTTTCTTACAAATTATTGGGAATTCTCAAAACTTCAGTCATGGAGGTGGCCTCCTTCGCAGAAGTTTGAGTTTCTTGATTACTTTATTATGATACTTTTGGTTCACAAGTCTAGTTCCAAGCATTCTTGCCAAAGTTGACTCTTTACATCTAGACTAAAATTCAACCTATTCGTAATAGTAATATTGTGATCAGGTAAGATTATCTGTTAAAATTATTATATTTCAGGTATTATCATACAGCTCAGGAATATTGGGATTTTTGCAATACAGCCTTTAGCTTACGACCTACTTGTCATAGTTCTGGTAAAACGGTGCTATTTATGTGCTCAATTTTGGGAAATAGCCAATAAGCTTATGAAGATAGATAGGTGCTCAATAACATTTTCTTCTTGAAACATTTATGCATTAAGATTTCTGCCTGATATACACGCTAATACGAATTAGCTTAGTTTCTTAGCTTGACACTTTGCTTTCAAAGAGCGTAGTCAATTTTAGTCCACTAGTGGGTTTTATCAAATTCTTGGTCTCCTAATCAGACCAGATTAGACTAGAAATTTAGGATTAGTAGGAGGGTAGAAATTAAATACCTACATTTTTAGCACTGGCATTTGATGCTTCACAAAGTACCATCTCTGGAATGGCATCTGGAGAAAGTTTGATCATTAATCAGACCTATACATTGAATGTTCAAACAAAGGATTCAGGAGGAAATAATTTATCAACTGGAGGAGAGGATATCTATATCCGTATTACAGATCCATGCACTCGAGGAGCTAATATGTCCTGAGTTCCCTCTTCCTTTACTCAAAGTGGAGTAAATGGTTTAGAGAAGGTTCTCAAGCTTATAGATAACACAGATGGAACATATTCTGTGAGTTTCGCTTTAAATCACATTGGAGATACAACTATATCAGTGGTTCAGTCAAAACATCAAGATATAACTGGTGAATATTACAACTCAGGGACCATCTCTGGTACTCCAGATGTCACAAACACAACAGCGTAAGATCTAGTATAGAAGCTAATTAGATATTTCGAGACTCTTTAATTTTTCTTGGGCTTCAGTTGAGTTTTTGATGAAACAGCTGATACAATAAAAAGTAAAAATTTAAAGTCATTCTCTAAGATTCATTAAAATTTAAAACTAACCCATCAAAATTTAATCTTGTGGTTTAGACTCATCAATTTCACATATGCACATGGGCAGGACATCACTCCTGGTCATCCTGATTGGGTGGCTGCTCGCTTCACTGGGAAGCTCACTCCCTTTCAGTCTGGGACTTGAAACATAACATTACTTCAAGATGATGGAGCTACTCTGTAAGCTCTGAATGAAACTTTATAGCAAAATAAATGGAGTGGCCCAAATCAGCAACTATGGAATTGGTATGTTTGGATCAACAATATTTTCTTATAATTTCAATGCATTCGAAACATATGACCTTGGTATCGACTGGATGGAAAAAACTGCTGGAGCTGCCTTGGTGCTCTCATGGGATTGAGGAGCTGGAAGCGTGCTCATTTCTTCAGTAAATTATGCATCTACTGATGATATTGGAGGAAGCCCTTTACAAATCTCTGTTGGGTGTCCTGACAAATATGAACAAGTTCCATCAACTACTGACCAGTGAAGACCCAAGTGTGGAGATGGGTTTGTCATCAGCCCGGAAGTCTGTGATGACCACAACACCAACAATGGCGATGGCTGCAAGTCTGATTGCACTGCTATGGAATCAAACTGGGCTTGACCAGGAGGTTCTTCTACAACTAAAAGTGTATGAACTGAATGCACACAGGGTCTTTACTTGAACAATCCATCAAATCCTACTGAATGAGTGGCTGAATGAGGAGATGGATACAGAGTTGGCTCAGAAGCTTGAGATGACGGTAATAATATCGATAGTGATGGCTGATCTTCTGATTGAAATGAAATTGAACTTGCTTGGAAGTGAGATACTTCTATTCCAAATATTTGAGTGAGAGATTACAAGTCAGCTCCTATGACAAACTGGGAAAGATTTTTGCAGATTTTTACTCTCTGCTCTATTGTTATTCTAATATTAATGAATATTATAAAAGGGTCTCTTAGTAGCACATCGACTAACTCTATACTCTCTTCAATGAACCAATTGCAGTTATTGATTCTATTCTTACTGTGAGAAATTTTTATTCCTCTTAAAATTGTGACTTATCTGAGAACTCTATCAGCATCTCTAATTGATATTAACATTGACTGGAATTTTTTCATAGTGTTCAGAAAGATAATTGAATGGCTGGACTATCCCCAAGACAGGATTGACTTTGATACAATAGAAATCAGCTCTGGGAGCTCCCTCATAAACTTAAGTGCTCTTGTTGGAATGCTCATCTTGTACATCATTATCCACATAATGTTCTGAGCTATCAGAAAGTGATGAGGGAAATCTAAATAAACTCTGAGCAAGATTTACTCAGAAAGTGTACAACAGCTTCACATTCAGTATGTATGTAGTCCTGACCTTTGAAGGATTCATCAGCCTTTGCTTATGCTCATTCTCTGAAATTGAAAGATACAAGGTGAATGATACAGGGCCAGAGCAGAACTCATTCTACTCCTCAGTGTTCTTTGCTACTATTTGTCTATTTTCCATACTTATAGTGCTCATAGTATGGACTGTGATCAAACCAATACAGCAAAACATGAAGAAGTTTCTTCAGAAGGAACTTTATGAAGGAATCAGGCTTAATAAAGCTGCCAGGTTGCAGCCAATCCTATTTTTAGTGAGAAGAGCAGCTCTCTGATTGATAATTACACGTATGTTCTGTCTTAATACTTTAGTATGCAGATCAATTGATAGATTTATATTCATGGGTATTTATTCCTTCATAAACCTGGTTCATTGATTGCTAATATGATGCATCAGGCCATTTAAGAACACTTCTGAAAACATCACAGATGTAATGAATGAAGTGTTTCTAGTATTTTTCAGCATTTTCTTGGCCTTTCACCGCTTGGAGAGTGATTGGGATTCTACAAAAACAGCTGCTTTTTACTGGATTTTGGTCATGAACAACATGCTAAATGCTTTGTTGTCAATAGGTAAGCTCTTCACTAAGGTTAAGGCATTTTCATATACACCCTCTGTACTTACAAAAAGAATCCAAAGAAGAGGATCAAGAACAGAATGATAAAGATCTCTCCAAATAAGATCAAGAACACACAGCTGAATATGTAAGCTTTTAAGATCATTATTAGTTCAAAATGCTTACCTAGACTGAAAAAGAACGCTGATCTCCGTCGTTATAAATACAGGAACGAATCTTTCCCCGATGGAGGAATGAACTCCTCTGTTATAAATCCCAGTGTTTGCCATCTGAATAAGGACATGTAAAATATACAGAAATCTTAATCGATGGGACAGAGCATCTTGTACTTGCTACATTCCTTCTGTAGATTTAATCTTTATCTGATGAATAAACCCTCTCTCAACTCTTATCAAGTAGCCTATTTCAGCAAGACTAGTAAGGCTTTGATTAAATTGGGAATCAATATTACCAAAGAGGGATGGGGTTTTGGGGTTTTGGGGTTTTGGGG